AAAGAAATCCATTTTCTGGTCCAAAAACTGTTATAACACCAACAATATGATTAAAGATGTGCTCAAACAGAATTACTGTTCTTTGTTAAAAGGGCCATGAATCTTTACGAACTTGTTGGACACAATATCACAATATTTATCACAAAACAACAGCCAACACAAGAACACACTGTCTGTATGGTACATGCACTGAGACACATAATAAATTTCACAAATTCACTGACAAGCAGTTAAAATCCAATTCCTGATAGCTTACATATATAGAGAGAAAGCTTTACTGTACTCGGTTGGAGCCTTCCGAAAGAGGAGTTCGGCAACTCAACTCCATGTATACACACACACAAACACACGAACGATGAGTCTTCACCGTTTACAGAAAAAAAACACGAAAAACAAAAAAAAAAGAAAACAAGGAAAACTATTCCAAAGTGTATTATTTCACTAGCTCACTAAAACCGAATCAAGTAAAACAAGAGAAAAGATCGCCTTTTACATCATAGGAGGCAAGCTCTTTCTCCAGCTGAAAGACCCGTTTCTTGCAGGCACGAAGCTAAGCCCAAACATCTCCTTAGGCGCCTGGCTCGGTTCTTTGAACCCGACCAACCTAGCAACAATCGATGCACTCTCTTTCACGTGTTCTGTATTTTTGTTGTCTGTCCAAAGAAGCCGACACAACTGAAGTCTCCTCTGTTTAGACTTTAGCTCGATGCCCCACTTCTTGAATAGAGCTTCTCGTTCTTTTGCCGAGTACTTCTTGAGCATGTGTTTGCTCAGCATCACTCTTTCCCGGTTGAGATTCTTCGCGCTATTTTCAAAAGCCAAGATTATGTTAAATGTATCTTCCGTTTAAATCTCGTTTATGATTGTTGATACCATTCATTCTCTATTCCTAGCTTTACATAAGAAAGCATAGTAAAAAGATTCTATGTTTTGTAAACGTAACTGATAAGCTAGCTCTTTAAGTGAATTTTGAGCTTATAGATGATAGCTTATGACTTATGGGTGAAAAAAGCTAGTTTATATGATAAAAGTGTTTGGTAAAATTAGCTGAGATAAAAATTTCAATGGGCTTATTTGAAAAGCTTACCAAGGAAGCTTATGAGCTAAGCTCAAACTTTTTAAAAAAAGTCGTTCTATCAAACCAAGCTTATTTGAATACAGGAAGCTTATAAGCTAATCAAATAAGCTATAAGCTAGCTTATATGCATACCAAACACAGCCTAAAATGACAAAAAAGAAATGAGTGGTTTACCTAGAGGCTGGCATGGAAATCGAGCCATTCTTGATTGTATGGACTCCATGCTTCATGTTCTTGAGAAACGAGAGCCTTCTGAGTTCGACTTCCAAGTAAACGGCATCTGATGGGTCCCCTTTGAAAAGAAGGAAAAAATAGCTTCTGTGGATTAGAGGAATGTGGCAAGCATCCCAAAGCTCGATTATCTGTGTCATTTGCTTCTCATATTCGGCTTGCCAATCGGAAGCTGATTTCTCTGTGTCTGGAGTTTTATCGGACGTGATAGCTTTAGCAATAGCATGTTTTTCCTCTGGCTGATTCGGTTTTTTCTCTTCCACCATTTCCTGCTACAAAAATTTATCCACATAAGGATTCGTGCCCATATACGAATGGTAAGCCAATCAAGATTAACTAAAAGTGTGTAACACGCAAAANGTATGAATTCACAACATTCTTTTGTATGAATTCACAACCTAAGACAGACAATATTTTTAAGGGAAAGGATTCGTTCTCACCGGATCATAATCAACGTGCTTCACTGATTTGAGCTCGACAACTTCCTTATTTTCTATCAAAATGGGGGCTTCTTTTTTACGATCATTTTTACCGAATGTCATTATGATTTGGTCCTCGTCATCATTCAGACAGTCACTCCTGTCGGATTTTTCCGAATCCTCTCTGCATAGATTCCAACTTTTATTAGCCTTTGGCCCTGCATCAGAAAGCTGTTCTTGGCTGCTCGACTTATCGTGAAACCCATGATCCTTTTCTTCTTCTTCTTTTTCTTCTTCTTCATCTTCATCTTCTTCTTCTGGCTCAAGACTTGGAGATTTTGTAACAGTAGTCAGAATTGCTGCACAGCTTTGGCTCCTCGGGACATTCACGCCCGTGTCTGACGAGTCGTTGTCCGATGAAAACGGAGATCGGTCTGCACGGAAAATAAATAAAAATAAGGAAAAATAAACATTTATTTATTTTTTGCTGAAGAAAAAAAATACAATTTCTTCATGATCTTGGTTTTGCGAAAGAGCTAGCTAGTTAGTACAAACCTGAAACTTGGGCATCCTTTTGTGGGGAAGGTGGGATCGAAATCGTTTTTCTTTCAGCGAAATACACGCCATCGTCTGGAAATTAACCAAAGAAGATATAAATAGCATTGCATGATATACCAAAAACCCGAAAACAATCTCATATTATTCTTGTTTAAGAACTATGTACCTGAAGGTAAGCCAGAAATAGTCTCGCTCTTGATGAAATACGCATCATTATCCGATGAAATTCCTATGTGTTTATAGATAAAATTTACTACATATAACATTTTGTAAGAGAAAAGATCAAGGAAAAAAATGAAAAAGAAAAAGAGTTATTACAGACCGGAAACTTGCGCTCCATTTTGTGGGGATGTTAGTGCAGATAGACTCCTACTCCGTTTGGCAGAATATGATTCGTCGTGCGGTAAACGAGTAGGTCTCTCTACAAGAACAAAAAATGATTTTTAATTTACATAAATCATCACAAAAACACAAACTCGATAGATCACCTTTACGTGGGGAATCTGAATTCGACTCGACACTCCTATTGACGAAATCGGTCTCAATGCACTGAACCTCCTTGCAGTTTTCTTCAAAGCCGTTGCTTTGTCCTTGAACAGCTGCCATCTTTTCCCAGCCTCTGCACGGGTCAGGACCAAAGTACTTATCGATGTAAAGTCCGGGTGACGTGTCACCTGACAAAAACTGCTCGGGAAAATTATCCTCGATCGCGCTCGACCGAACAACGGCTTCAGAAATGTGAGGCGTTCGTGACGTGGGGTCGATTATGTCCGACATCTCGGATGGCGCGTATTCACTAGCCCACGACGAGGATTTCTCGTGGTTATGCATGTCGACCTGAAATGGAGAAAAACAGAAATAGAATAAATAAATAAATTTATTAGTTGTGTCGGTTGATTTTTCGAATTATTAGTACGAACCCAAGATTTCGACGGGTTGTATTCTGTAATGGAGGCCGAACGAAGCATGTCCTCGACTCGCGACTGAGCTAAGTCTCGCTGGTGAGTGAGTTCCTTTATCTCTTTATCCATCTGCGCACGATTTATGAGAAAGCGAGAAAAAAAAGAAAAAAAAAAAAGAAAACATGGGATTTGAATTTATATATTCACCTTATCGATGAGAAGCTCTTTCTCTTTCAAGACTGACGAGGAGCCACACGAGGCAGCTGTGGAGCTGAGATTCTTGAGCTCGTTTTCTAGACGAGCGAGTTCCTTCTGAAGCTGCTTCACGAGCGCTTTTTCAGACATCACCACGTTGACTTGGGCATTTGTGCTGACCTGTTTTGCACAGCTGGCGAATAATAGCGTATTCCTCGATTGCTCCAGGTGGCTGTGGGCCGGGCTCATTGTGCAGATGATTGCTGTTCGAGCATTCCCGCCTAACGAGTTCTGAAGTATGCGCGTGAGCTTCGAGTCTCTGTATGGTACGTGCCCGTTTCTTCCTTTGCTGGATTAACAAATTGTCTCAGGATTAGCATTTAAATAGACAAGTTTTCGAAATTTTAAACCGATTAAAAAAAAAAATTGTACCTCAATTTGCGAATAACAGTGCCAAGAGTGAGTAAACTTCGATTGATGTGGCAACCTTCTTTTAGCCTCGTCCCAGCTGATAATGTTTGAGAAGCACGTTCACTCCCGGCAAGATCAACAAAATTCTGCCGTGTGAAAATATGTGTTTAAACGTATATTTTCTTAAAGAAATGGAAAAGAAAAAAAAAATAAGAATGTTCCTATATATACCACTGAAGCTGTAAGAAGGCTTGAACTGCCTGCACCTTTATATTGACGAGCTTCACTTTCGACTGTCTGTAGAAAATAGAAATTTATGCACAACTCAAGTTAAGTCGGCAAATAATTTACATTGAACTCAATAAAATTATAAACAGCTTGTTTAATGAGAAGTTTTAACTTACCAAGCGTAGGATTTGATGAGATCGTGAGCTCACTTCATTTAGAGTAGTCTCCCCATTTTGCCTCTGAGCTGCAGATATCAAATAAATGTTAAAAAAACCTAAAATCATGCCGTTTCAATTAAATAAATCCACTATATTTTGAGAGTAACATGAATTGTTCTTAAAATATTCATCCAATTCAATGATATAAACAAATATAACTAAAGGTTAAACTATTTTACCTTCACATATTGATAGTAGCTCTTTTAGATGGTTATAATCTGTTAAATTCACCTCTGTAAGTTTGTCGACAACAGTCCCTCTCTGCAAAATAATAATAAAAAAAAAAAAAACTCGTAAGGTCCGTAAAACTTTGTGATAATAATTTTACGTGTAAGCCCAATAATTTACCTCTGGATCGTCTAGAAGCCTAAGAGGAGTACAGTCCATGACGAGTAAGTCTCTGACCGATTCATTGTAAATCTCCATGGCCGAAAATTTCAGTTTGAATTCTCTTTCTGAATGCTATGTAAAGTAATTTTTTAGTTAGAAAACAATCTGAGTAATGCTTTAAGTTTTAATTAGAGGCATTGTACCATGTTTATGTAGTCATATATATCTTCTATTGTGTATTCGGTAATGCCGCTCATCGTGTATGTCTTTCCACTGCTCGTTTGCCCGTATGCAAAAATAGTTGCTGGGGATGAAATTTAGCAGAAAAAGGATAAAGCTTTGTACTATCAATTATCATGATAGAATATATAGAAGAGTTATAGTTCAAAAGAGAAGAAATAAGTCAATAACTCACAATTTATTCCATTTAATACAGAAAGCGCAATCTTTTTGGCGGCATCATCGTAAACTTGCCTCGTGGGAGAATCGTATCCGAAGATTCTATCTACACTCACATTATTTTTTTTTTAAAAAAAAGAAAATACTAAATCAAATGGAAACTATATAATGTCGAACAACACATAAGGAATATTTTGTACATCTATATAAAAGACGAACGCGAAGCAGAATTTGGGCAATGATTTTGATTCCCATACATTTTTTTCTCGATTTTTACGAGCTAACATGAAGAGAACAAAAAATGATTCGTTTTTCGAAAGAATGGCTTACCGAAGGTGTAAGCTGTAGGAAGCAATGTACGTTCTTGAAAAGTATTCTTGAACAAGATAGTTGTATTGTTGATGCATTCCCATTCAGAGACATCATTTTTCGAGAGTTCTCTCTCGTTCAACGGCCTTAGCCTTATCGCCACATAGATTTTCTCCTCATCTTGACCGTCAAAATCGACCGATGACTCCCCACAAATGGACCCCATTCGAAATCCCTCGAATAATTATTCTTTTTTTCTTTTCTTTCTTAACCCCTCACACTCAAATGCAGTTGAATAGAATTGATAAGCTATCAGAATCTAAAACTAATGGGCCTTCATATATCCCCTCTCTTCGTAAAAAGAGAGGGACTCAATTTTGCCGACGTTCGTTCAAGGCTTGAAATCCTTTTTCTCTGCCAAAAGAGAAAAGAAAAAAGAGATTCTAACATGAACCTAAAATTAACGTACATTAATCCTAAGTTGTTTGAGGAATCTTTATGCTTTGCAAAAACTAGCTTAGGAATCTTTAAGGCTTCTCTTTTCATCTTCAAATGTGACATTCTTGATTCTTTCTTATTGCATAAGGGACCATTTTTGGTAATACATGCTTAAAAACATGCATCAGATTGCTGTAAATTAACAAACCACATACATCTTTGGCAATAAAATGCTTAAAAACCATCATGATTTTCATGATAACATGCAAATTATCATGATATATAGCAATTCTTTGATACATAAATTAACAAGAAAAATAAAAACTTGTAAAACCCACAAGCCATTGGCAGTCAATTGAGTCATGTGAATGAATGAAACAAAAAATTGGCTCACCTCTATGTAGTTGTATATTAAATGGGCTGTCTTCAGAAAACCCAAATACTTTTCTTCTTGGCCAAAACCAAATATTTAAGAAATTATGAACAATAAATGGAAGGTGAAATGAGCCATTTGAGGGGGCTCGAGAGAGAGAGAGAGAGAGAGAGAGAGAATTAAGGGAAAAAATCACAGATAAAAAGAAAGAGTAAAAATATAAGAGATAAACAGAGGTATATGTTTGTGAAATTGTGTGAGAGAGACTGCAAAAAAAGCGAGAATCAAGGCAACGTCGGTAATTCGTAGAGTCCATAGAACAATTCGGAAAATGATTTTTTCACAATGTTTTGTATTATATTTCATATGTAAATTAGAAAAAAAAAATAAAAAAATCAGAGCATGCAAAATCAACCGCCAAGACCAACTGGCCAAACCGAACTTCGGCTGATAGTGTAGTTATTTAAATCAAATTATTTACAAATATAGTTTGGTCGATTCGTAAACCCTTGAAGTAAAACGAGTTGATCCGAGCTTATTTATAAATTTTATTTATAAATTTTTAAAATTAAATTAGACAATTCTGAATTTGTTTGCAAATAAATCTCGAATAGCTCGTTTAGCTAGTTGAACCTAAATATAACGGATTTAACGAGTCAAATATTTTATTCATTTATTAAATAAAACAAGTCGAACCAACTCATTAATTAAACGAGTACAAATATTTGAGATCGACTTGATTGACAAAAGTGAAACACGATTATTATCGAAAAATATTGTTTCAGTTTAGGAGGAAAAGTCGAGAGTTTGAACAAAGTAATTATGTAAATTAATATAAATTGCAAATGACCAATTTTTTTTCTCTTGGACTTCCCCCAATTTTTCTCTTGACTTAACCTAATTTTTTCCGATTTGCTTTCCTTGACGGGGCAGCCGAGCTCCTTGATGGTGGCTGGTTCCTGGCTGTGCGACGCGACCCTAATTTGGTTTTGGGGCCTGTTTTCTCGCGCAATGGTGGTGTGGCGGGGGTTGTTCGACTGTCCTCTGACGGAGGGGTTGTGGTCAGTCGGCTGGGCGCGGGGTCGGGTTCTCGGGCTTCGGCTCTAGTTAGGCGTGTGTTGCAATTTTTGGTGTTGAAATTTGGGTCGTGGTCCGGTCTGTTTGGTGGTCGGTCGTGGTGTTATCCTCAAGTGTTGCTTGGGCGTTTGCTCGGCTGCCGAAAGAGCTTTAGACTACAATTATTGTGTTTATGTTTGAGTGTTTTTATCTGTGTTTCTCTGTCTTTTTTGGTTATTATTATTTTTTTTATGCTATTAATCATTCGGGATCTAGATTCTCGTATTGAGAGTTAGCTATTATTGTGGGTGCATTGTGCTGTTTAGGATCCATTCGGGGGTGTCCTATCACTAGATTCGGCTGCTGGTTGAGTTCTAGGTGTAATTATGTATNTCCACTCACTTTAAATTTTTAAATAGATATTTAAATTGAATCAAAATCGAAATTGGTAAACTTACAAAAAAAAAAAAGAAGAAAAAAATTATTTCATCTATTTCGGATTTTCATTAATTTTAGATTACTAGTCAATAGTATTCCACTCACTTAAATTTTTAAATAGATATTTAAATTGAATCAAAATCGCAATTGGTAAGCTAAAAAATATATTCCGTTGCCGGGACTTGAACCCGGGTCTCTCGGGTGAGAGCCGAGTATCCTAACCACCTAGACTACAACGGATTTGATAAATTATGGTAACGTTACTTTTATATCGGAACACGTACTCTGGTGATATAAAGCATACAGTATTTGACTTTTGACTGCGAAATGAATGAAGGTCTCGAGACGGAGCGCACGCGCCCTTCTCCTACCACTACGCCACCGCCCTTTCTCTACTGCCGCCAACACCGCCACCCTCTTCAACCGCTACGTCGACCGAAACGACGTCGCCTCATGGAACTCCATCATCGCCGAGCTCGCCCGCGGCGGAGACTCGGTGGAGGCCCTCCGCGCCTTCTCCTCCATGCGCCGCTCCTCCCTCCGGCCCGACCGTTCCTCCTTCCCCTGCGCCATCAAGTCATGCGCCGCCATACGAGACCTTTCCTCCGGCCGCCAGACCCACCAGCAGGCCCTCGTTTTCGGCCACGCCCCGGACCTCTTTGTGTCCTCTGCCCTCGTCGACATGTACGCCAAGTGCGGCCAGCTAGCGGACGCCCGGAAGATGTTCGACGAAATTCCCGAACGAAACGCGGTCTCGTGGGCCTCCATGATTAACGGCTACGTCCATAACCTTCGCCCTCGGGAGGCCCTGCTACTTTTTAAGGAGCTTTTGGCTGAGGAGAGTGGGGCAGAGTGCGTGGATGGGGTCACCATGGTCTCGGTTCTGGCTGCGTGTGCACGAGTGTGCGAGAGGAACGTGACACGTGGGGTCCACGGTATGGTGGTCAAGAGGGGTTTGGATGGGGTTTTGGGAGTGTGCAATACTTTGATTGATTCATACGCTAGGTGTGGCGTGGTCGGGTTCTCAAGAGAGGTGTTTGATGGGATGGAGGAGAAGGATTTGGTGTCTTGGAACTCGATGATTGCGGTTTACGCGCAGAATGGATTGGGTGAGGAAGGTGTTGGGGTTTTTCAGGCCATGGTGAGTGAAGGGGTCGAGTATAATGCTGTCACTTTGTCAGCCGTGCTATTGGCTGTTGCACAATTGGGTGCCCTTCGAGTTGGTAAGGGTATACATAGCCAGGTATTCTTTCAATATAGATTCTCTCCATCAAATCTGCAATATAGATTCACATTCTTTCAATATCCAGCTTCAGTGTGTGAAGATAACATTATGAAAGAATATCGTTGAAAGCTATCCTATAAAAAGAATGGGTGTATAGAGTGTTCCTATAAAAAGAATGGGTGTATAGAGTGTTCAATTGCAACTTTTCACATGTTGAGCTAGAATCACGACCGCATGATTTTGTTTTTTCTTTTTTTAATTTTTTAGTTTGTGCTCTGATGAATTTGATTTTCACTTCTAAATCCCAGGTTTTAAAGCTGAACCTGGAGCAAAACGTGTTTGTGGGCACCTCCCTCATCGACATGTACTGCAAATGCGGGAGAGTTCATCTGGCAAGACACGCATTCGACGCCATGCTCGAGAAGAACGTGAAATCATGGTCTGCTATGATCTCTGGCTACGGCATGCACGGCCACGCAAAAGAAGCCCTCCAACTGCTGTCTTGCATGATACAAACCAGAACAAAGCCCAATGCCATAACTTTCGTATCTGTCCTCTCTGCCTGCTGCCATGCGGGCCTCGTGGACGAGGGCTGGCACTGGTTTTCTTCAATGCAGCACAGATTCAACATACATCCAAGCATCGAACACTATGGCTGTATGGTCGATCTTCTTGGCCGTGCGGGCCGTCTTGAAAAGGCCTACAATTTGATCTTGGAAATGAGAGTACGTCCCGATTTCATCATCTGGTGCTCTCTCCTTGCTTCGTGCAAGATACACAAGAATGTCAAGTTAGGGGAAATTTCGGCCCAGAAATTGTTTGAGCTGGACCCGAATAACTCGGGATACTACACCTTGCTCTCAAATATCTACGCGGATGCTGGAAAGTGGGAGGATGTGAAAAAAACGCGAAAATTTATGAAAAATCAGGGGATTGTGAAATCTCCAGGGTACAGCCTTGTTGAACTAAAGGGTCGAGTTCACGTGTTCTTGGTTGGAGATAGGCACCACCCGCAGCATGAGAGGATTCACGCGTATTTGCAGGAATTATGTGGGAAGATTAAGGAAGCTGGGTATGTTCCCAGCTTGGAATCTGCTTTGCATGACGTTGACGAAGAGGAAAAGGGATTGGTGCTGCAGATTCACAGTGAGAAGCTTGCGGTTGTTTTTGGGATTATGAATTCTGGTCATGGGTCGACTGTCCAGGTGATGAAGAATCTGAGGACTTGTGAGGACTGCCACACGACTATTAAGTTGATATCCAAGATTACTGATCGGGAGATTGTGGTGAGAGATCCCAAACGGTTTCATCATTTTAGGGATGGCAGTTGTTCATGTGGAGACTACTGGTGAACTTTGAGGTTATAACTACGGTGTGGATGATACTTTTTCCTGACTTTGAGGTTATTCTATTGAATTATATTTCGATGTTGTTCGGTAAAAGTCTTGCAGCTATAATCCTAAACACCCGTTAAAGCTCACGCCATTAGTCCCCCCTCGAATTTCCATTTTTATGGTCAAATTAACCGGAGAAGTACTTTCAGGGATGCCTTCCGAATCCTGTGTGTTTATGCTAAAAGATCACAATAAGAGTTTGACAGTGGTAACAAGGGGAAAAGAAAAGGAGGCTCGTATCAGGTGGCTGACTAAAAGAAAGTTCTGATAGGTTCTTTTATCAATATAACTCTGATTTTACATTCATTTGTGGCTATTTGCAATATTTATTATTATTTTTTTCATTGATATTTAATTTGGTAACCTGATAAATTTGAAATCTTGTGATATTTTAAATTACATAAAAACTTGCTTTTTTCTTTAATTCAAGCCTAAAAAACTCCTCGTGCCGTGTTATAAACGTATAACTTCAAAAGTAGATTTTAATTTAACGAACACAACTCTGCTGAGTAAGGTAGTTTTGTCATAGATAATAGTACAAAAAGCACCTCACTTGTGAAAAGCCACCATAGATGCATCTCTTCGGGTTCATCTAACCTACACAATCACATCCAAAGTCAATTTACTTCTCTCTCTCTTCGGGAAAAAAAAAAAAAATATCCATTTCTCTTCTAAAAACCTAAATTGGTCGTCCGCCTAGGCGTGGAGCAACGAATTTCTGCCACTCAGAAACGCTTTTCGAACAATAAGCAGAGACAACAATACGTGGTCAAAGCCAAAGCTCGAATAGCCCAAAGAGGCAAACACGACCACGATAAGTAAGCGGCGGAAGCAGAAGCCCACACGAACAAGTTTTCAAAATCAAAATGTGCATTTCTTACTTTTAACTGTGAATATTATAACATAGTTTTTTCAAATTTCAGTTTACATTTTCCGATCTTAAACACCTTATTTGCCTTGCCTTGTAAGCACATTTACATAATGATGAGTGTTTTCAGCTTTCAAATTGAGTATGTAAATGATGAGTGTTTCTCGTAAACATCGATTTATTTTATAATTATTTTAAAAAATTAACCACGGCATTTTAATTTCAACAAATTAAATTAACATATTCTATCATATTATTGTAATTAATCGCACTATATTCCTAACCTTAATTTGAAAAGGACTCCTTATACTAAAAGGAGTTCTCTCTTTCCCTTGGCGCTCTCTCTCTCTCTATATATAAACACCAAAACCTCAACCATTGTTATTATCTCCTCCTATCATACATTAACAAAATAAACTCAGTCTTCTCTAATTTCCTCCTTAATTATATACTTTGGTATAGAGAGAAAAAGAAAAGAAGATGATTGGGGTGGGTTGGTTTACGGTGGCAATGTTCACAAACAACCCTTTACTCGACTTCGGAATAGACGCACTCTATGAATATACGCATATGCCTGAATGGTTGGATTTATTATTAGTCATATTATATTATGTATCTCTACACTTCATAGCCTCTTCTTGGAGTAAGGGCAGACCCTTAAAATTGAAAAATTACACAAAACAATTGATCGATGGAGCTTTCTTCCTTTTGTGCCTCGGATTAGTTTATTTTGAGCCTGAGGAGGATTGGTTCGCGGGCGCTTGGTCTTTCGGTGCTTACTTACATACCGTGACTGTGTTTGGTTGTTTGGGGTATTCTAGAAGCTTCCGGTTCGACGATATCTTCTTGGCTCAACTTATTTGTCGTTGGGTGCTTGTGATGAGTCGAGGATGTTCGTCGCATGGTAAGGTGTTGCTTTTGGGAGTGTCTCTTGGTTTGCAACTAGTGAAGAACTTCATGCGAGAGGAGTTTGAGAGAGGGGAATTGGAAGAGAAGCGTTTCGTGTGGTTTTGTTTCTTTTTGTCTTGGTTGAATGCTGGTTATTTTAGTGTGAATTGGTGGGTGGGTTCTATCATTGACTCTTTAGTATTATTTACGTGTTTAGGTCTTTATATACGAGGGCTTTATAGGAAAGTGTTACAGTCCCGGAACAAGATCATTCCTTTGTATAAAATTCCAATGAAAAACTGTGGCATCACTTTTGTTTGATTACATCTAAGAGTCTGTATCAAAATTAAAAATTTAATGGCTTTTAATTTAATTGAGGGAATCGTTTTCTCACGGGACTATAGCTATTTCTTGTCTTTACGAGTTAGGTTATGGGTGACAATTTTTCTATTTTTGAATGGATGTGGTTGGGTTAACGTATAGATTAGATGAATTGATTCTGCACCTTTTTACTCTTAACAACAAATTTAAATTATGTACTTGTGAATAGTTATAATTATTTGTAACGCGCGACAGCGAGTTTTTTAGGCTTGAATTAATTAAAGAGAAAAAATCATGTTGTTAAGCAATTTGTAGCTGATGAAGAATCCGAGGACTTGTGAGGACTGCCACACGACTATTAAGTTGATTTCCAAGATTACTGACCGGGAGATTGTGGTGAGCTAGAGATCCCAAACGGTTTCATCATTTTAGAGATGGCAGTTGTTCGTGTGGAGACTACTGGTGACTTTGAGGTTATAATACTATTCCTGAACTAAATTCGATGGTAACGCTCGCCTCTATGATCCTAAAGGACCTAAACACCCCGTAAAGCGCACATAGAGAATCCTGTATGTTTATGCTAAAACGAGTAATAATTACTATTTTAATATCCAAACCTTAATTGAATAGGACTCCTAATACTAAAAGGAGTTAATACTTAATATACCTTTCCTTTGGCTCTCCCTCTATATATAAACACTACCAAAGCCTCAAACCATTGTTATCACCTCCTATAATACATAATAATAACTCTTTCCGTCTAAGTAATAATAACTATATTGCTACATAATTAAGAACATGAGTGTGGTGCATTGGTCTACCGTGGCAATATTCACAAGTTCCCTTTCTTTCAACTTGGGGGTATACGCAATCTCCAAATATATGTATCTGCCCACATGGTTCGTAATATTAACAGCCGTATTGTATAATTTATCTCTACAACTCATAGAATCTTCTCGGAGGACGATCGAACCTTTAAAGTTGAAAAATTACGCAAAACAATTGATCGATGGCGCTTTCATCCTTTTATGCCTCGGATTAGCTTACTATAATTTTGAGGGATTGTTCGTGTGGGCTTGGGCTTTCGGTTCTTACTTACATATCGTGGCCGTGTTTGGTTATTTGGGCTATTCCGGAAGCTTCCGGTTCTACGATATCTTGTTGGCTCAACTTATTTGTGGTTGGGCGTTTTTGAGTCGAGGATATTCGTTGCATGGTAAGGTAATGCTTTTGGGCGTTTCTCTTGCTTTGCAACTTGTGAACAACTTCGCGCGAGAGGAGTGGGTTTGTTTCTTTTTGTCTCTCTTTTGTTTTATTTATCCTTTTCTATGGTGGGCTGGTCTTATTTTTGAATCTTCAGTAGTGTTTACGTGTTTTGGTCTTTATGAGTTAGGTTATAGGGACAATTTGTGTATTTGTGACTGGTTGGTTAGTTTAACTTCTGGATTACATTGAATAAATAAAAATATTGTTCCAAATAAATTGATTCTGTTGATAATTAAGGGTTTTTTGTATTATTTGTCTATGATAAAATTATTTTACTCTTAACAAGTTGGGTAGGTTAAATTAAATTATGCACTTGTGAATAGTTATAATTAATTAGTTGTAACGCGGCACCAAGTCTTTTAGGCTTGAAATAAAGAGAAAAATCAAGTTATTAAAAAATTAAAATACAGATGTTATTACGAGATTTTAAATTTATATTAATTAGGGGTCAAGTGAAAAATAACCAATATCTACACTAATAAAAAAGGTAAAATAAATATAAAATCAAAATGAAATAATTGAATAAGCTACTTAATTAATAAAAGAGAATGCTTATACCAGTTAGTCGTTGATAGAATCTATGTTGCAACTAGAAACTACTTAAATCAATACCTATCGTGTACAATGTTTGTCCTTGCTGCTTGCGCATAAGTTTAATGTTGCAATTATGTCCTTCTATATTTTTCTTATAGTTTTTCATCCATTATTGAAGTTCTAATTAATACGGTAAAATAATATTACTACGATATATGTAGTGTGTGTAATAGTACGAAATTGATAAGNTTTCGGTTTTCGTTTATTCTGTATTTCTAGTTAATTGGTTAATTGTTGGAAAATGGATGCAAATGCTTCCTAATGAACTGGATTTTAATATTCTTGAATCCATTACTTTAACTGCAAGATTAATAAATTGATTATAATCGATAATAATTTGTATTGAGTTCGTATAGCTAGTATGAAATTTTTAGTTTAACTCATAAACAATATATAATTATTTAGGATATGAAGAATCTTGATTTAATATAAATAAAAATAAAGCTGTGTTGATAAACGTGCTGAATATTCAAATAACTGATCAATAGGACACCTGAAGCAATTTGTATAGGAAACTGATGCTCATACCATTTACAATTAACTAGTACGCTACCCGTGCGGAAACATTTATTACCTATTTATTTTTTAAAATGTATTTTCTATTTAAATTGTCTCATATCATTAAAATTTCATGAAAATAAACTTTGTATGTTATTAAACACTTCCTTATGTACAACATTATTGATTTGATTCTTTGGTACGTAAAGTACTACATAGGTACTTTCAAATTTATCCAAAATTGCATATTATTAGTTATTAGTTCACAAATTTTAAAAAAATTAAAGGATCTTACTTATTAAAAAAAATTAAAGTAGAAAAAAATGTAAAATTTTTTAAGGATTTTCACCCATTATTTATTTTAAATCTAATTCTAAATTTCAATTAAAAAAAATTAAAAAGAATCATTAGTTACTCCTAGAAATGAAACCTATTTTCCTACCAATAAATCGATTTTTTTTTTCAAACAAATTGATCTGAATTTTTTTTAAACCAGTAAAAAATCATAAATTTTTCCTAAAAATGCAACCAAAATTTTCTAACATTGCACCGATTTTTGTACCAAATAAATTGAATCAAAAATAGTTCTAATAAAAAACTGAAATAAATTGTTAATGTTTATGCAATTGTCTCTTTCCTAAATAAAATTATATTATATGAACTTAACAAAAAAAAATGATATAAACTTACCCAAATCTCGGTAAAACATGATTAAGAAAAAACATATGAATCCAAAAAAAATCGATGCATTTAAATTTTGAAAAGTTGCACACATTTTTTCTTAAATAATTGGATAAAGTGATTTTAAATATCAATGATGAATCGTTTTTGTTACCAAAAAATGTGGACACAATTTTGAATGTACATCCCATCCAAATATCTATTATTTTTAAAAATAAAATTTGCACGTAGCTTTATCCAATTTAAACAAATTTTTTGAAAGAAAAAATTATTCAATAAGATTGGAAAAATTGGTTAACAATTATGCAACTATTTGCTTCCTAAATTTGTATTTAGAATTATTTTCATAAATAATTGACACATTTTTTGCATAAGAATCTCCAAATTTGTTATAAAAAAAGATATGATTTAAATTTTGGTAAAAAAATAAAATATGATACGAAAAAAATGAGATTCAAATTTTGCCATAAAAATCTCCAAATTTGTTACAAAAAAAAGAATAGGATTTAAATTTTGTTACTAAAGATTCACATGTGTTTTTTCAAACTTTCCATTAATAGTAAGTCAAACATTATATTTATTTGGTCAAACTTTCTATTAATGTATTTTTCCGACAACCTCTTTATATATATAGATAGATTAGGTTGTATAGAAAACCTTATGCTCATATGATAACTAGTTGTTTCGTGTCTGGATTCCATAAATTAAACGTGGTGTCAATCTTAAATATTAAATATAACTAAGAAACAATTAATTAATTAGTTGTTTTGTGAAATTGGATTCCATATACCACTGATCAGAAAGATTAAATATTATAAATTACTATAAATTGAAACACGATTGTTTATTTGTTTATTTCATTTCCAACTCTAATACAATTTGTTAACGGTATCACCATTTTTCTCAACAAATAATAAAATCTCTAGATCAAAATATATTACTATATATTATTGGAAAATTAATGTTATATATTCTCTGTTATAGAAATTCAATATAAAAAAGGGAGACAATTTGATAAAATTTTAGAAATTCAAAGTGATTGTAATTTTCATTATTTATTTATGTAATTAATATATACTAATCAATAAAATGGTTAAGGAAAACAACAATTTCCCTAATCTATTCTAAGAGAACTAATTTCATTAGATTAATTCACAACAGTAATATGGTTAAGGAAAACAACATTTTCCCTAATATATTGGTTAAGGAAAACAACATTTTCCCTAATATATTGTAATCTATTCTAAGAGAACTAATTTCATTAGATTAATTCACAACAATAATAGGTTAAGGAAAACAACAATTTCCCTAATATATTCTAAGAGAACTAATTTCATTAGATTAATTCATAATAGTAATATCAGGTGAAGCGAACGCCACGTCAAGGTTTAGATAGAAGTATTGTTTAGATAACAGCACGTGAAAAGACAGTGCTTGAAATAGAAGTATTGTTTCGAGATACAAGAAAATCAATAATTAACTTCACTTATCAATAATTAACTCTCTGTACTTCTCACAATAATAAATTAAAGAATATGATTGGTATATATATAGATAAAATTTCCTATATATATGTTTTGTTTATTCGTTGGATGGGTGTGATTGAATATTAACGTACAAAATTTGACAAAGTTTAATACATATCATTCAATAATAATACATAATATTATAGAAATTTTTAAACATGTCAATTGAGTTGTATTAAAATATTTTGTGAAAAAATTTCATGATACTTTATATTGAAATTACTTTATAAATGAGTTGCAATTAAATAAATATAAGATGATTTGAATCTCTCATATAAGAGAAGACACATGGAAGGGAGGAGTTCAGTTTAGCCCCTTCTCCTATTTGTTAGAACTACTTTGATAGAACTCATTCTTCAGAATGGCTTGTTAGCAAGAAAATGACTTCATCCTTCCCTTTATGAGACTGAATTCTTTAAAATAAATATTGAGATGTGTTNAATATCGTAGAAAATTTTAAACCTAAAATTTATGCACACGGCTATCAATTTAAAGTAACAAATACAAAATGAGTTTTGTAACTAAACCATATTAATGGTCAAAATTGAAGACTTCATTAATGATGTATTGTTCTATTGCCACTAGTACGTACCCCGTGCGATGTACGAAAGAGAGATATTAAATGAATTATTTTCATACAGACTTTGTCCGTTTAAGTCTAAGAAGGGTTATCATCCATTTTCCACCTCTTTTAATCACCGTTAAGTCATGTTTAAGTCTGAAAATGATTATCATCCATTTTTCACCTCTTTTAATCACCGTTAAGTCTAAAAAAAATAGGGTTGTAATTTATTTTTCACATCTTTTAATCATCGTTGTTTTATTAGTCAGAACATTAAATGTGAGCACGTTAGGACTAACTTTTAAAATAATTAATATATTATCTCAGTAACACATTTATACTAATATAAATTTAATTTTATTATAATTTTTGTTCACTATATAATAGTTAATTATTATTTTACTATAAACTTTGTTGCCATATAATGTCATTATTATTTATAAAGTTATAGAAGTTGCACGTCTTCTTGTTCTCTTTATTTTATGTAATGAAAAATATTTAATGCACGTTGGTATTATTTATATAAGTAATCAATTTAAAATATGTAAATAAATTTAAAATTAAATAGTGTATAAATAATGTACAAAATATACACATATATTTTCTTAGAATTTAATTTTGTATACTAATTAAACAACTTTGATTTAAGAAAAGCCATGAACTCAATCTCTTCTAATATCAATATTTTTCTAATTTGCATTATAATGATTATTATTATTATATATAGATTAGAATTTTTGCGACACCAACCAAACTAAATATCACAACAACCAAGTAACAATTATGAAAAACCCATAACACAACAACTATCAATTAAATTTGGTAATAGAAAAATTACATCCATATATATATAAATATATGAGGATTCTATATTTCTATTAACTGATGTATACAACACGTGTATATTTTGTTAAGGTATATTGGAATGTTCAATTTCATAGCATGATAACAATCAGTCTTAAAAAATCGAAAATCTTATTGAAATGCCATATTTTTCCGTTAAAAAAAAAGTTCCCATAAAGAATAATTATATCATAGCAAATTCATTGTGTAATTGAACAAATTTCTATAATGAAGCCCGATTTTCTGTACAAAAATAAAGCAACAACTTCCACATTTTAAGGAAATCAATTAATGTTGGTCCATTTTTTGCTAAGAAAATAATAAATAAATAAATTGTAATTAATGGAAAGTAATTAATGATGAGAGAATTTGACGATATAGTTGACCTGTCATTTTTAAAAATGGTAATTCTTATTATATATATATAGATAATTAAATAAATCAATTAAATAAAATATTAATACCGAAATAGTAATGACATTTAATGCAGTTGACTTTTCTGGATACTAAATGTAGTAAATAGGATCCCTTTTATATATAAGTATAGATTTATAATTGCATTTAATGCTTTTGCCGGAAAGTTCTTGTCAAATGAGATACTCCCTCCATTTTGAAATATAAGGCGTATA